GTATAAATATGTGAGAGGAAGTCATAGGGAGGAGGGAGCAAGCTTGTTTTCTGTTGCCCTGGAGACTAGGATGTGGAACAATGGCTTCAAATTACAGGAAAGGAAATTCCACCTGAACATTAGGAAGAACTTCTTAACAGTGAGAGCTGTTCAGCAGTGAAACTCTCTCCTTAGAGTGTGGTGGAGGCTCCTTCTTTGGGACCTTTTAAGCAGAAGCTGGATGGGCATCTGTCGGGGTGCTTTGAATGCAATATTCCTGCTTCTTGGCAGGAGGTTGGACTGGATGGCCCATGAGGTCTCTTCCAACTCTTTGATTCTATGATTCTATGGTGGAAGCTCCTTCCTTGGGAACTTTTAAACAGAGATTGGATGGCCATCTGTGAGGGATGCTTTGATTAGATGACCCATGTCATGGCAGGGGGTTGGATTAGATGACCCATGTGGTCTCTTCTAACTCTATGATTCTAAGGGAGCATACATTGGGGAAACTGCAAATAAGAAGGATGAAGGATGTGTATAAGGCACCTGTCATGCTCTATGGCAGGCCTGGGCAAACTTTGGCCCTCCAGGTGTTTTGGACTTCAACTCCCACAATTCCTAACAGGCTGTTAGGAATTGTGGGAGTTGAAGTCCAAAACACCTGGAGGGCCAAAGTTTGCCCAGGCCTGCTTTATGGAATTTGGGACTTCTGGAATTTGGGAAGTCCCCAAAAGCTTCTCTGGCATCATCTATGTTTTGATATTAAGGCCTCCCCCCCCCCACCCCCGGCAATGGGGAAATTTGACAGACAGAGAAGATGAATCTATATTGTAGAACTAATGCAGTCTGACACCACTAGAATGGCCATGGCTCAGTGCTATGGGATCACAGGATCTGTATCTTAGTGAGGCGAGGCCTAGGATTCTTTGGGAAAGGGGGGAGGCCTAAAGACACCTATATCTGGATTGTAGTCTTGAGCCAAGGCAGTGAAAGCGGTGTAGCCAGGCCGAAGGAAGAAGGGCCTGACGCGGGACTGACTCACCCCGTCTCCCTGCTCGGCGGCGCGGTAGAGGCCCGCCACCATCTCGTTGTGGAGCAGCAGGAAGAGGGCCTCGTCCGCCATCTCCGCCTTGTTCATGCCGGGCCTCCCTGGGAGACGCAAGGCCCGCTCCTCCGCCGCGACGCTTCCTCCCCGCCTTCCTTCTCCTCCTCCAAGCCCAGCGCCTCCCGAAGGCCCGGCAGGAGGAGGAGGAGGAGCTGCTAAGCAGGCCTGGGCCAACTTGGGCCCTCCCTCCAAAGGTTTTGGACTTCAGTTCCCACCATTCCTCACAGCCTCAGGCCCTTTCCTTTTTCCCACTCAGAAGGGACCTGAGGCTGTTGGGAATGGTGGGATTTGAAGTACAAAACCCTTGGAGGGAGGGTCCAAGTTTGCCCAGGCCCTCAGAAGGGGCCTGAGGGTGTTGGGAATGGTGGGAATTGAAGTCCAAAACCCCGAGGACCTCAGAGGGGGCCTGAGGCTTTTGGGAATTGTGGGAATTGGAGTCCAAAACCCCTGGAGGGAGAGCCCAAGTTTGCCCAGACCCTCAGAATGCAGCTAAGGCTATTGGGAATGGTGGGAATTAAAGTCCAAAACCTCCAGGCCCTCAGAGGGGGGCTGAGGCTTTTGGGAATGGTGGGAATTGAAGTCCAAATCCCCTGGTGGGAGGGCCCAAGTTTGCCCAGGCGCTCAGAAGAAGGCTGAGGCTGTTGGGAATGGTGGGAATTGAAGTCCAAAACTACTGGAGGGAGGGCCCAAGTTTGCCCAGGCCCTCAGAAGGGGTCTGAGGCTGTTGGGAATGGTGGGAATTGAAGTCCAAATCCCCTGGAGAGAGGACCCAAGTTCGCCCAGGCCCTCAGAAGGGGCCCGAGGCTGTTGGGAATGGTGGGAATTGAAGTCCAAAACCCCTGGAGGGAGGGCCCAAGTTTGCCCAGGCCTGGTCTACACTGTAGAATGAATGCAGCCTGACCACTCTGACTGCCACAGCTGATGCTTAGGGTAGTCTCCATACTCAGGAAGGCTTCTAGCAATTATTTCAGCATTCCCTCCAACTGTTTTGGACTTCAACTCCCATCATTCCTAACTATCTCGGGGCCTTTCCTTTCCCCCCTCAGCCACTTGGAAAAGGAATGGGCCTGGGGTTATTACGAATGGTGGGAGTTGAAGTCCAAAACCCCTGGAAGGCTGAAGTTTGTTTTGCATCCAGTCCATGGGCTTTAGTTTGGGGACCCCTGGTATAGACATTTACGGTGATTAATACAAATTACAATCCACAGTCTTATTGCTTCAAAAGTATATAAATGGTTGCAAGGTTTACAGTTTGCGATCGATATATAGTATGGCGGGAAACTTGATAAACCTTTTAATTTGAGGAATTCTGGAGCTGGTCTTCTGTAAACACGCCAGCCACCCCCTTCTGCCTGAAGGAGCTCATCAGCCTGGAAAGGGATTACTTTGGGGAAACAATGTTTGCTGATTGGTATCAGCTGGCAGAGGGGAAGGTTTTCTTGATTGAACAATACATGGATTGTTATTCCAAAATGATGGGCCTGACTTTCTCGGAGTGGGATAGGATAGGAGCACGCCCTGCACTTACCTACATAATCCTTACATAATCTTTGGCTTCAGCTTTCTGTGAGTTGATCAGGTGGTGGGAAAATAAGGGGGCTTGTCAATGTTGCCCAGCTAAGAGTCTTTTTCTGGCTTCGGAAGCTCAGCGGAGTAACTACAGGTCATTTCTGAACCTCAACATTTTTAGGAGCCCCAGCTTCAGACAACAACATCAACTACATAATTTCCATAAATCTACCAATTTGAAATCTGTTGCAGAAAATAAATAAAAAACTTGCACCACCACAAATCAGTAGAGTAAGTTTTATTGAGTCAGAGTCCTACTAGGTTAACTCTAGGAAAATACACAACTATCCGATAATCAGATGTATTTATTTATCGTGTCAGAAGCAAATTGAGAATACAGTTATAATGTATTAAAAAACACAAAGTTTAAAACTTGGCATTATGCTAGATTTCCTTTGACCAGAAGCTGGCCACTTCAAGTGCCTCAAGTGTGAAAAGGTTGTGCATTTAATATGCATTTAAAAACACAAAGTTAAAAACCCTTGGCATTATGCTAAATGTCCTTTGACCAGAAGCTGGCCATTGGAGTGCCTCTAATGTCGCTGTGAAAAGGTCCTCCATTGTGCATGTGGCAGGACTCAGACTGCATTGTAGTAAGTGGTCTGTGGTTTGCTCTTCTCCACACTCCCATGTTGTGGACTCCACCCTGTAGCAACATTTCTTAAGGTTGGTGTTGCATCTCATGGTGCCAAAGTGCAGTCTTTTCAGCGCCTTCCAAGTCGCCCAGTCTTCTGTGTGCCCAGGAGGGAGTTTCTCATCTGGTATCAGCCACTGATTGATGTCCCGTGTTTTAGCCTGCTACTTTTGGACTCTCGCTTGCTGAGGTGTTCCTGCAAATATCTCTGTAGATCTTTGAAAGCTGTTTCTTGATTTAAGACATTGGCATGCTGGCTGATATCCAAACAGAGGATGGGCCTGAGATGCCAATGCCTTGGTCCTTTCATTACTGGCTGTTACTTCCCGGGGGGGGGGGGGGGGGGGGGGGGTTGAGAAGGGCAGGGTACAAATATCTGAAATAAATAAATAAATATCAGGTGATGCAGTACCGGCTAAACAGTATAATTCTCCAGCAGTGTTGGGCATAGACATCCTGTGATAATGTGGCATGTCTCATTAAGAGCCACATCCACTGCTTGAACATGGTGAGATGTATTCCATACTGGACATGCGTATTCAGCAGCAGAGTAGCAAAGCGCAAGGACAGATGTCTTCACTGTATCTGGTTATGATCCCTAGGTTGATAATTAGATTAGAGACTGTCAGTACACAGTATATGGCATGATTGAATGCTGGAAGAGCAGCAGTGCATAATGAATTTAAGACACAATTACTTGCAAAATCAGATTCTTATCTGGTGATCGTTTATTTAGGATTAGGCAAAAAGGCCCACAACTTCCATGATTCCCTAGCTGTGAGTTATAGCAGCCAAAATAGTGTCAAACTGCATTAATTCTACCGTGTATATACATTTCTGAAGTCACCGATTGAATTAAAGTCTCTGTAATAGCTATTTTGTGCTACAGCTATTTGTATTAGGTAAAAAAAATGTAAAGGTTTTCCCCTGACATTAAGTCCAGTCGTGTCCGACTCTGGAGTTGGTGCTCATCTCCCATTTCTAAGTTGAAGAGCCGGCATTGTCCGTAGACACCTCCAAGGTCATGTGGCCTGCATGATTGCATGGAGCACCATTACCTTCCCTATTGATCTATTCACATTTGCATGTTTTCGAACTGCTAGGTTGACAGAAGCTGGGGCAGACAGCGGAAACTCACGCCGCTCCTCGAATTCAAACCTGTAACCTTTCTGTATTAGGTAGTTACCTCATACACATTTCAGCATTTTATAAGAGTGACTCATCTATAGTCAATTTGTCATGTTGATCTCACATTGATTTTTTTTATTTCTTCTATAGTTTTGAGATAAATATTGGGATAATATTTAGAAAATATCAGAATAAAATTTACTAAAAAACTAGGCACCAAATAGGAATTTGGGAGGCGTATCTCAAATCGCGTAAATAATTCAGAATATATTTTGATTAAACAAATTATGTATTGTGTTGTTTTGTTGTTCATTCGTTCAGTCGTCTCCGACTCTTCGTGACCTCATGGACCAGCCCACGCCAGAGCTCCCTGTCGGCCGTTACCACCCCCAGCTCCCTCAAGGTCAGGTATTGTGTTGTAGTTCTATGGAAAAGGTTTGGGAACCACTGACCCAGAGCACCTGGTATTTATTGGTGGTCTCCCATTCAGACACTAACTAGGGCTGACCCTGCTTAACCTTAACCTCCAAGATCAGCCAAGATCTGGTGCACTTAGGGTAATCAATCAATAGAAGAAAAGAGATTACTGGGATTAAATAGATTGTCTTTTGATTTTATTCTGTTTTATGGTCTTAAATTCAGTGGTTAACTTCCACATTCCTTTCTCAGAAATGCCTTAGCCCCGCCCCTTGCACTCAAGAACGCCTCCTAACCCACAGAGGCGCGAAAATAGTAGGGCGGGGAATACAATACAGAGAGAGGGAGAGAGAAAACCTACCTCCAATCACGGATTGGCCATATGGTTGTGCCGCTTGCCATTCGATTGGCTGCTTATTGTGTCATTCAACTCTGGTACTTAGCGATTGGCAGAAGGCTCCCAGCAGGATTCTTTCCTAAGTGGCTGAAAGCGACGTCACTCCACCAACGTGAACGGTTGAGTGGCAGAAACGGGAAACTTGATTGGCGCACCGAGCTGCCACTCAATCTCAGAGGCGGGAGACTCGCGAGAGATTCCGAGTACCGATTGGATAAACGTGATGTCGTTTTAATGTGCTGGTTCCCGATTGGTGGATTCTTTGAGGGAGCCACGTTACACGTGTAGGCGGGGTAACTTCCCCCTCTCCTCCCCAGCTCTTCGCTTACCCGACCGCGCTTTCTGCTGGGCCCAGGCAGGGTAGGCCGCGCCTGTCCTGGTAGTAGGAGTAGTAGTATCAGGCGAGATGGCGGTGGCCGTGCGGGCCCTGCAGGAGCAGCTCGAGAAGGCCAAGGAGAGCCTCAAGCACGTCGACGAGAACATCCGCAAGCTCACGGGGCGGGACCCCAACGATGCGAGGTGAGGGAAGCAGCCCAAGGGTGCTTTTTCAGGGCCCTTCCACACAGCCAGAAACAGCAAGGCAGGAAATCCCGCATTATCTGAGTGTGGACTCGGATAACCCAGTTCAAAGCGGATTTTATTGTGGGATTTTCTGCCTTGATATTCTGGGATATAGGCCTGTGTGGAAGGGCCCTCAGTAAGGAACTTCCATGTAATCCAGATTAACCACTTTAAACCGGATTATGTGAATCTACACTGCGATTCGGTTCAGCTGCATTCACAAACTGTATTATATAGCAGTGTAGATGATGATACTGGGAAATAGGGCTGTGTGGAAAGGCGCTCAGTGAGGAACTTCCATATAATCCAGATTAACCACTTTAAACCGGATTATGTGAATCTACACTGCGGTTTCTGTCTTCGGCTCAGCTGTATTCAGAAACTATACTATATGGCAGTGTAGATAATAATAATAATAATAATAATAATAAACTTTATTTATACCCCGCCACTATCTCCCCAGGGGACTCAGGG